AATAAAATTTTCACAATTTGTATTGACTTGCTTTCTACGAATCGATGAGAAACTTTTAAAATGGCGACCTTCGAGAGAATGAAGCAAGCAAGAAGAACAGTGTCGTTTATAAATTTTTACCGTTCTCTTTGTCTATTCCAGCAATTCCATACAATCGAAATGAGAATGTAAGAACACAACCAAAGAGAGCGCAAGAGAGAAATGTAAATAGATAAGTGCAGGTGTTCGCTGAGCTTAAAAAGAACAGCTGAAGGAAGCTGTTGAGGCTTAAATAAACAATGCTTTGTCGAAATTGTGCGCAAAATCTACATAATAGCTTTAATTCAATTTCGATTTCATCCTCAAATCATGTTCATATGTGCCGTCTTGCTCTTGCAGATGCTTCACGTTTGTCAAGTGTTGCCAGTATTTTCTAAAGAGTGTTAAGAAGTAAAAATTAAAGCTTGTGGTTTCTTAGATCTTATACCAACATAAAAAGTAAGATTTACTCGTAAGATTACTAATTACACACTACACCACTTATAACCCAAACCAAGTTTGTGCGGACATATGTAATACCGAGAAGCGCTTAAGATTGCCTCACATTTTGTCGTACCGATCGATCATTTTCTGTATAGATCTAAGTTTGTCTGATGTCTGTGCTGTTTTCTTTTGTTCAACGTACAGTTTGTAATTTTTGCGAAACAAGGACGGACGTGTTTCGATTCAGACATCTTTTTCGAGCACTTCGCATATCGCGTCTGATTTCGAAAAGTCATTCTGTGATTAACATTGGAACTTGGTAAGAAATTTAGTGGTGAGCCATGGTCCATCACAATCTTTTTACTTGTTTCGAGACTGTTTCAGTTTTTTCTATGTGGTGCACATACCTGCTAATAGATTGCAATTATTTTTTAACCTTGTATTCTGAACTGATTAAGATATGTTTGCGCGATTCGGCAAAAGAAAAAACGGATCAAAATTAGACTTTTTGGTAGTAAAGGACAGATATCATCAGTAAGAACATCCTAGTTGGGCTATTCCTACCATCAGATGCTATACAGAACCTTACTTAGTACAATTGATCATTCGTTTTGTTAATAACACATCAAAAACTCCACATTATTTTCATGCTAAGGCACACTTTTCAAGAAACATCGCATATTGGGGGCTGTCTAACACGTTGCATGACATGATCCCAATTTTGTAAAGTTAATTTAATTTCTAAAAATTTCTTTATTTTCAAGTTCCCTTGTTCATAGAAAACAAGAAATTGTACTTTTATTCTGGATAAGTGTTTCCTTTTCATGATAATCCCTACAGTTGTTTGAGCCTGTAAAATAGAACTATATGATTCAAATTGCCTTTTGTTAATTGTTTTAATCCATCGCTATTATGGAACAATTTCTATTATAAAATATTAAGAAATTAGACTTTTCTTTGAACGGGCTACTATTTATGGGAAATTTTACATGCAGTGGGGCCTAAGAGATGAAACTATGTGGTTTAAATTCGGTTCACTTTATTTCTATTTCGAATTACTGTCATGGACAAATTTTGATCATAAAGCGTGGCATATAAGGATTTATATTTTTCTGGCAAACCTTATATGCGCTGGTATCCAAAATTAGAACTACGTGAGCCAAATTCCGTAAGATTGATTTCTGTGTCAGTTTACTATTATAAATCAACCTTCACCACGAAGTATTGAAAATTAAGTCTTGTTACCACACAGAAACTTAGTAGTCGTAGGAAAGGTTATATGAAGAAAGAAAGTTCAGAAAATTACCACAGCCATAGGTTGGAGGCCGAAAATGAAAAATAGCACTGTAGGAGGACATGGCCCACCATTAAATAGCCGTCACCACTTCGCTTAGTATGGTTATTCATATAACGGCTTTTCAAAATAATATTATGTTATATGGGAAGTGGTCGAAAAACTGGTCCGACTCGAAAAGTTTTTAATAGCGTTTATCCTTGCAAACAAAACATGTCGGCGTATTAAATTTCGCCAAAATAGAAGTTGAGACCTCCATGGTAAAGACAAGAAAACAAGACGGATCGAGAGACAGACATGCTTAAATCGATTCAGAAAGCGTTTCCAAATCGAAGGAGTGTAAGGGAAGACATCTTCAGTGTTTCGGCGAGTTGCTTACATCCGCACAAACGATGTAGGGTGTAAAAACTATCAAAATGATGTATTTGCTATATCTTGATAGTTATATATAAACCATCCATTTAAAAATAATAGCGGTCAGGCAATGAAAGAATATCGCTATAACAGCACCAGCAACTAAGCAATTAAGCGCAGCATGCGAAACCATGAATTTGTTTAACTGGTCGGACGGACAATCAGATGAATGGCCTGCAAAATGCCAATGAGCAAGGCACTCGGCTTAACAGTTAACAAAGCAAAACGGTGGCTGTTAAATTACATATGTTTCCTTAATCAAACAGGTCGTTAATGGGATTTAAAGCTTGCAAACAATCGATTGCTGTTATTCGGGAAATTTAAGCGAAAATGTATTTAATGTTATATGAAAGTTAAACAGGAAAGCAACAGTTTTCCATGTTATTATATAAAACAAGAAAAATTTACAATATTTTCTAAATGATGTCAGATCAAATTTCAATTAATAATAAAAATTTTCCAGTTAATTAATTAACTGAATAATTTATTTAAAAAAACAAAAAAATTTTTTTTATCTCTTCTTCTTAATTTAAAACCAATGTCGAGTTTTGTGTTGTGCGTTTTTCATAATCGATAAACCAAACAAACATGTGTTCGTTCGCGTTACGCATTTACGCGCGGTTTACGGTATGAGGTAAATACAACTCTTAATACGAGTGCGATTGAGTATTTAATAAGAATATGTATGTGCATCGTTTCTAAATATTTATTCAATAAATAGACGTTTGCTTGGTGTCGTCTCGTTATGCGCATGCAATTACGTTAGCAAACAAAACACCCTCGAAACACTTTGTTGCTATTTTGAAATGCTTGAAAATGCGTTTTTCTACTTGGTCTATTAGCTGATTAGTTAGTTGGTGTTAATTTCATTTACAAATAAATTATACGTTTTATACCCATTAGCGAAGTATGGCACTATGCTAGATACGTTCTTCTCTTCGTATTGGGCATTATGGGCTTTACTAAATGCATTTATTTTTGCTTAGTTCTTTAAGACTAACCATTTTTCTCGGTTTCTGTCTGTCACAGGCATTTCAGCCGTTTCCCGTGCTGTCCCCTACAGCCCATAGCAGATATAAAGCTAAAACCCGTTACATATATTTTTCATTTTCATTTAATCTTAACGTTTAGTGTATAAATGATGTTCGCCCTCTAACTAGCACGCTAACTTTGTTATTTAAATGTCTATCGCCGAAAGATGATTCGATTTAAATCTGTCCGTCCGTCCGTCGTTAGAATGATCGCCGTTAAACAATTTAAGATAGAAACTTGAAAGTTATATTATGGCGTAAGTCAGGTTTGAAAATGAACGTGATCCACCTATTACAGTTAAAGACTAAGTCATTTACGGGCGAGATACTAATCTCATCGCAGGTTTGCGTGTTACCTATTCCTATTGACAAGGGTCATTTTGACCCATATTTCCCATAAAGTTGGGAAGCTAAACGTAACTTGTTTGATTGTGAATGCAAGGTTTTAAAGGCTGCTTACGATCTATCCACATGACAATCTATATATAAGAAACTGAGATAATCTCGAAAAAACACTGACAATTTTTTCAAAGTTTTCCCTATAGCTTTGGATTTTGTGTTAATGTTTTCGAAAGTCTGTCCTCCGTTTTCCGTCTTCTGCCTAAAAATGGTCCCGATCGAACTACTAACACATGCGCAATTAACGACAAAATTTCAATACCAAATTATATTCAGTTTATCTCATACACACATTATCGCGATTTTTACTCAATCGCAAGTAATTAGGAAATAAATTCTTCACTTAATTATAAGACAAATTCAGTCGCGATAAATTGAAGATAAATTACGCATAAATTGAAATTAAAATTTTATTAATTATTGTGAACCAATCGGAACTTTTTGCGGACTGAACGTAAAGTTTAAAACGAAAAGATCATATAGTGGTAATACTGGGGTTAACGGATTTAAAAATGAAGAAAATTCTTGCGTTAAAAAGTGGTCGCGACATACCAAAATTCATCATATCGTGAGTTTTTAATTCTGAATGAACTTGACCTGCTGTTGCAAAGCTCGCCCAAGAAATGTTTGCAGTTCTAATCTGGGATGACCCGACTTTCCGTCCGCTATCAGCAATCATTACTCATTGTGGTCAACACTCAATACTCATTCAAGATTTAATAGATTACCTATTGTTTGCTCGGCCGGATTCCAATGGCGATAACAAAATATTGATCTTTTTGGGAATAGCTTTAAAAGGCGAGGCGGGAAATTCGAAAATTGCTTGAGAGGGGGGGAAAGAGGCAGTATTCTACATTGGATAATGCTTCGATTAATCTGTTTCTCCACTTTGTTCCGAAATATGTCCATTTTTGGCCACAAAAGGACCAAACTGATTTATATTCTTAATATATGGAGAAAATATTATCAATAAAATATTAATTTTTTGTAACATTTGATTTTTCTGTTGCAACATTCGTTAGAAATGCAACCTTGTAGCATTGTAACGTGTAGGCATGTTAAATTCAACGACTATGAATGACAGGCTGGAAGAATAATTGATATGCCTGCACGATTGACACGATAATGCGATAAAAGTAAAAATTGAAGAAGATAAAAAAGCGCGGGTTGGGGATAATAGATAGAATTTTGGACCCGAACGGAAGTAAAATCAGAGATGTTGTGGAATTGTGTGTAAAAATTGATATAAATTCGATTGGGGTCTCCCATATAGAATGATGGGTCG